CGGCCCTCTGCCCCCTCCAGAGTCCAGCGCCAGTGGCTGCTGGCCGGGCCTCAGAGCTGTGGGGGCCTCAGGGTTGTGCGGGCAGGTGAGGCCAGGGCTGGGCGCAGGGAGTGCCTGGCCGAGGGGCAGAGCCCGCGCCAACCCTTCCCTTCTGCCTCCCTCTCCAGCTGGCACAGGACAGGAAACGAGCGGCCGAGTACGCACGCCAGGCCCTGCCATACCTGGAGAGCCGGCAGGAGCACCTGAGAGAGGTGGCCAGGAGGTTCATCGGTGAGCCACAAGCCCGGGCTCCCTCCCTGCCCCTCCGCAGCTCGGCCCCAGCCGCGGCTGCTGCCCCAGCAGTGGCAACCAGGCCCGGCACCCTGGAGCCCCACCTGCCCTTGCAGCTGCTGCCGGCCTCTGGCAGCCGTGCCCTTGGGCGTCCGGATGCAGCAAGGGCTGAGCCCTGCTGGGGCAGGAGGGCGTGTGGCCACAGGGAGCTGTGCCGCTGGGACCCTGACAGGCTCTGTGTTCCCAGGGTCCGCCAGGATTCTCTTGAGGGGGCAGAAGGAAGAGCTCCGGTTCCTCAGCGAGGGTGAGTGAGGGCAGTGGGCTGTCAGCGGAGGCTGGCACGGGGAGCTGCAATCCCTGCCCCGGCTGCAGAGGACTTCACTCCCTGTGCGGACGAGGGTGGCGTGGGCAAAGCACAGAGAGATTGCAGGGACGCGGGGGGGATTTGTGGTGAGCACCTTCTGGCTGATCCTGTTGGCCTCTCCTCTCTTGAGGCCCTTGCAAGAGCTGAGCGGGACACTCCAGGCAGGAATATCTCCTAGGATTCCCGCAGATGTGGGCCAATGACTGTGGCTCTCTTCCTCTCTGTTGCAGCCCTTCAAGCCTCAAAGAAAAAAACGGTCTAACCTGTGTGTTCAAGAGCAGTTTGCCAGAGAAGCAGAAGAATTAGAGTCATCTTCAGGATCCAGTGAACCAGTGTCCCAAGAACAGCAGTGGGAGACACTGAAGAGGATAGACACCACCTCCCAGTGCCACTAGAGCTCCAGGCACAGCTGAGCCTGTGGGAAGCTCGAGTAGCTTCAGCCCTCTCCCTCCCTCCAGCCCTGAGACCGTGCCTACCACCTTTTTTTCCCTTCCAGCTCATCCCTTTGCTTCATCTTCCAAATAATAAACAGTTTGGCTTTTCACTTTATCTGCATCTCTGTGGAGCTGAAGTGGTGCAAATCCTAAGTGCTGGGGCACACAGACCCCTCCTGCCATTCTCTTCCACGCTGTGTTTTGTGCAGAGGCACAGAGGAATGAGGGCAGATCAAGCTGGAAAGGTCCTTGGGCTGAAGTTCCAGTTACACAATATTGTAGAGGTAAAGCTATTGCTGAGCACCCTGAATGCCAGTTGTGGGAGAAGGAGCCTGTGTGTCAGGAACCAAAGTTGTGTGTAAGGCCCTGCCATATTTGGTCTGCTGTTGTGCACGTTGACAAGATAATGACTAAACCCATTTACACCACTGGACCTTCAGAGGAAAACTATGCCCTTCTACAGGATCATTACTTCAACAGAAACACATCTGTTCCTCCAGGAGGACTGAAAACACCATTTAACTGGACTGCTACCAACACCCTGACTAACAGGGTGTCAGGTTGAATTCAGACTCTGGCAGTAGGTCGGTTTTTGTTAGTTTTCTTTTTTGTACTACTCCATTTTCCTAGCAAAGAACTGTTATTCCTATTCCCATGTCTTTGCCTGAGAGCCCCTTGATTTCAAGACTATAATAATTCAGACGAAGGGGGTAGTTTACATTTTTTCATTTCAAAGAAAGTTTCTACCTTCCTTAACGGACACCTGTTTTTTCAAACCAAAACAAATGAATTAGTCAGTCGATGGGAAGTTAACCTGTGAAAGAGGAACAGTACACAATGTAGCTGTTGTTGGCATGGAGGTGGTATCACAAGCTGATGTGACCTCGTCTCACACACTGGCCAAGCATGAGAAGATGTCATAACTGGAATAATTCCACTCCAGTGGTGTAAGAGCCGATGGAGAGATGGGGACTTCAGATGGCTTTTCTTTATAATGTTGTTTATTGCATATACTAGGTTACTGCAGGGCGTCATAGGTCAGCCTACAGCTGCTGGCTATAGGCAAGCCATGTGTCCTGAAGCCCCTATGGTTCAGGTTACAATGCATTATATCTCTTTCTTTTTCTGTGCATATTATTACATAACAACCAATCAGCATCGTACACAATACCTTTACATTTACATATATCCTATCAAAACTGCTCAAATTACCATACTATGTTAGTGACTAGCTAATCATCTGAGTTAGCAATTACATGTTAAACTTTGAAACTTGTTTTGCAGTGTAAAATTCTTTTTGCTTTGGTAAAAAACATCTTTCTGTCTGCTTACGCTTTTTTTACTTGGTAGCAAACATGCTTTGTTTGAAGACCAGTTAACGTATTGGATTTTAGCCATAAAACTCCCTTCTAATTGATTAAACCTTTGCTATAAACCTTCCACTTGACTAAACCTTTGTTCTTTCAGCTGTTTCAGCAACAATTATCCCTAAAAACATCTTTTTATAATATCAAAACTTGATTTCATTTCTAGAGAACCTTCTGCTAAGCATTTATATCCATAAAACTTTTCTGTTAAATTCTCATCCTTCCTAAGACAGTGGAGAAGAGATGAGGCCTGGTTCTGGAGATTCAAGGACAAAATGCAAGCCTTTTTGATGCATAGGGTGCCCTGAAGGTGCACAGCCTGCCTGCCCCTCCCACTGGAGCACCATGCTCCATCTCCTGCTGCTGCTCAGTGGCTTTTCACCAGTCCAGGTGTTGGTATGTATTATTTGCAACAGCTACTAATAAAATAAAACTTGCTTTGCAATCACATGACTTTTGCATGGTCGTCCTCCATAGCCCATGAGATTATTGGCAATGAGGATGGGATGCCCAGAGCACAAAAACTGATGGTGTTTTGAGCATGTGTGAATGAAAAATTGGTGCACGTTTGAGTGTGGGTAAGAAAACAGGGACAGGGTTTGGGCAGTGGAGCATGTGGTTGCACCATGAGCATGGGCACATAGCTGGAAAACAAGAAAGGAGTGCCATGGGTGTGTGTGTGGCAAGAACGGGGCCTGGTCAGCGGGGTCAGGCTGGATGCACGAACTGTGGAGCACCTTATCACATAAGCTAGAAACCTGGATAAGTATTGGGCCAAAGCATGGGAGGCCAAGGACCTTGTGGGGGTGTTGAAATACTGCAGAGAAATTTTACAAATTCCTCAGAGATGCTCTAAGGAGTGTCTGATTCCTGCTGGTCAGGTGACTAATTGCCTATTATTTGCAGACAAAGTTGCTGTTTAAGAGAATGCAGAGCTTGGAAAAAAGGTGAACAAGATGAAAAAACAAGCTGGAATTGTGTTACAATGTTGAGCATTTGTAACTGCTGTAGAACAGATTGAGCAACTCAGGTAGGCCTACCAATGATGCTGCTTGGCCACTTGTGGCCAAAGGATGGACTACTTTAGGACAAGCAGGCAATCTGCTTAAAGGAGAAAGAATGAAAATTCGTGTCCTAATGGGGTCTCTCTAGCTTTATATGGGCCAACCCTTAAGCCCCAGGATAGAGAACATTATCCCAGAGGGATGCCTGAAGGGATGGAAAGCCTACAGTCATGGAACACCACCCCTGCATCTGCAGGCTACTGGAACATGCTGTCTCATCTTAAAATTGCCTCTGTAATTTTCTTTTCCTTGTCTTCCTGCCGTGCCACCACATACCAGGAAAGGAGATACAAATCTCTGATGCATTGATTACTCATTTAATCTTTTTAATTTTTTCCTCTTACTTCCACAGGGGTAAAAATAACCATTTCATGCTCATGACAAATGGGGGGCAGCCCCAAATTTCTCAGCCCTTTTCAACTTTGTGGCCTCTTCTGGACGCTCCCCTACCCAAGTGCAGCACCAGCTTGGTCTTGGTGAACCTCATAAGGTATCTAGTGTGACTGATGTTTCCTGCTCTTGGGTGACACTGAGTTTTGACAATATCAGTGTCTTGGTTTAGGGCAAATTTGGGACAGAACTTCCGAATGGAGTCTTTCCAGAAAACAAATTCAAGCGGCCCCACCCCCAACTTGTTCAGGAAGAGATTTCTTTGGAGAAAAGTGGAGAAAAAATCTGTTTATTTAACAGAAATTGAATAATATTAAACAATAAAACTTGTCGCTGTTGGATGAGATGGCAAGTTCAGGAAAAGTCCTTTTCATGTGGTGTAGCTCAGCTCACTCAGTCTCTTATCACTGGAAAGTGCTGAGGCCCAGGCCCCGGTGGGCCACAGGCGTGAGTTCCCAGGGTTTGGCTGGGTTTTCAGTCCAGAGCAGGCTTGCACAGATCCAGGAAAAAGGGGAAAAAAATTGTCCAGGGAACTTCCCTGCCTCAGTTAGCTAAAACTAACTAAAAGCAAAGGAGAGCTCGGTCCTGCTGTCTGTCCATGCTGCAGACAAAACAGTCCAGGAGCAGGATGAGGGACAGTGAGTGCTCTTTCTCAACACAAACTGTGGCTTCTTTTTCCCCCTCTTCTCTCTCAGAGCCAGTCTTACAGGTGCAGAACTTAATATGTAACATAAACCAGGTGACTGGGGATACAAGCATCACAAAGTCACCCCAGGACAGAAATCACTGAGAAGGAAGCAGAAATCTTTATTTATGCCACTGTGTACGTATCTGATAGACTCCTGAGGAGGGGCTCCACAAGGACTAGGATACGTCTGGAAAAGGCTCGCAAAGGAGGTCAGGGAAAGAAAAGTCTTCCACATGCAGTAAGACTGAACAGACTACAACTCATCAGCTTGGATATCTGAAGAGAGCTATGATGGAGACCTGTAAAGTAGCAAATGATGTGAATAAAGTGAATGAGGAGTTGTCATTCATTATTTCTTTCAGAACATGAATTCAGGAACGTGGAGGCCAAAGAACTGGCCAACAGGGAGCTTGCTGTGCTCCCTTGGAGAAGCTATCCATGATCCACAGACCCTTTTGTTATGGTAAGCAAAATTTCTCCCCCAGAGGCCTTTGCAACCCTGTGTTAATCTCTGGTTCACTGCTGTTTTTTCCCTTTACTCTCTGCCCCCATGACTGCATCCCATTGGTTACTGGTTTCGCCCTGCCCCTTGCATTCCCTATATCTACCCCATTTTTTTCCCTCAGTTTGGAAAGTTTCTGTGCTGGGTCTCTTCACAGAGGGCCCTGATCTAATAAAGGCTGGTTTCTCTGTGGAATCATTAGCTAGAGCTCTAGTTCTTTCTTCCCTGCATTGCCTGGGAGAAGCTGCTGCTGAGCTGAATGCCGCTCGCCAGGCCAGGAGAGGGTTGTGCCTGTGCCTGTGAGAACTGTCCTTCTCAGGATGCTCCTTCAGGAAGGTCGTGGCACTCCTGCCATCCCAGCTGCCACAGCACAGGAATACCAGAGGCAGCCTTCAAATGAAAAATAGGAAATTCTTTTCCATTCCCTTATCACAGAAAATAATGTACACTGTATGTAGAAACACATTTAAAATCTGCAAGAGAAATTCCTGGACACTAGGCAGATACTAAACACCATTGAACAGATATGAGCTCCAGATGTGGAAGCTTTTGTTTATAATTTCAAAATAATTCAGAATACAGATTTCTGTAGTCATCCACATTCTTCTTTCCCTGTATACTGGGCCAGACAGATCTTTGGTCTCCCCTAGCACATCATTAATTAGTTTCATTAATATGTATCATCTAATGTCTTTCAATCAAAATCCAACTTCTAGGCTTAAATCATGATTGAAGACTGATTACCTAGTTTTAGAAAGAGTATATTTTATTTGTTCAGGAATAACATCTATCATTTTATAGATTTTAATTTAATCTCTCAAAACCAAAACGAAAACTTGTACAAAAATATCAGGTAAAATCCTCTTGTCTGATTATGTATTTGTCATCAGAGAACTTTTAGAGCAGGTTAAATCATCCTGCAATAGAAAGAGCACTAATGTATTTTTATTGCAAGGTAAAATTTTTATTCAGGAAAATGCTTCCTCAATAGGTAAGGTTACTATTAACAGTCACACACCAGAAATTCAGTACACCATTGTATGGGCTGTATTTCAGACATGTAATAAAAGAAAAGTCATTCCTATGTCAAACCATTTAAAACCG